ATTTTATTTATTTTTTAAAGTCTGAAATGCACATTTGCCGAGCAGCATGTAAATCCTCCAGCTGATCAGAAGCCCTTTTCTCCAACACCATTTGCCTAGCAATGGGTCACTGGGACCTCAAACCAAGCCCCCTGTCTGTGCTCTGCCTGCTACGCGAACCCCCCGCCTCCAGGCACACCCCGGACCGTTCCTCGGTTCCAGATGAAGATGTACAGAGTGGGTGGGGCCATCGCAGCAGGGAACTGCCTGCCACTTCCAGCCCAGGGGGATCTGCCACCTCCTTCACCCGCTGCCTGTCTCCTGCATTTCTCCAGAAATTTGACATTTGGGGCTTGGGGAGGGGAGGACAAAAAGGCAAAAAGGCAAACCTTTGACTGACAGCTGATGGCTCATTCCTCTGGTTATAGCTTCATCTGGTTATGGAAGGGGTGATAACTCGCGAAAACGAATTACCTGAGCCTTCCCTCCAGTGGCTATAAAATGGGGATTCTAAGGAGGAATCAGTAGAAATGCTGAGAGAGATATCCGAGGGAAATTTTCAAGATTCTGACTGAGAAGCCAACACCTCGTGCTGCCAAGCGGGGTCCACACCCTCTTAAAAGCTTTTCAAGAAGCTTCCACTTCTCAGTCATCTGGCTGCAGCCGGACCCTGAGCTAGGTGGGTGCTCTCTGGCTCTCATCGCTGTTCATTCTTGCCATAGGACTGACAAGTGGGGACAGACGAGGAAACTGAGGCCCAGAAAAGTGAAGTGGCTGGCCTGGGCGGGCACTGGAATTGCACCCCTCCCCACTGACACCAAAGCCCATGCTCCTTTGATCCCCCAGGCTCCTCCCCAGAGGGACCCACCATCAGAGCGGCCACCAAAGGACAGTAACAACGTGACCAAAGATGGCTGGGGGGAGGAGGACACACGGCAGTGGTTCTGACACTGTTTCTGATGGTGGAGTTCCCCGAAGCCAATGGAAGTTTCTCCCCCAGTTCCTGGAAGACCTACACTGGCTACAGTACCAGCAGGAAATGGAGCTGGGGAAACAGCACCAGTAAGGGAAGAAGGCGCTCATCCCTGCAGCAGGCTCCCCATGCGCCCGGCAGGCACACAGCACTTAAACACCACAGTTACTGTTAGATGCGCTCCCCGTACTTGGCTGCTGCCCCTCAGGAGGTCAGGTCACATGGCCCAAGGCTGGCAGGAGGCAGGGGAGGGCTCAGACCTGCACCGGGTCCCTCCCCACGGGGCAGCACACGGCCTCCCTGGCGCGGGCCTCGAACCCCAAACACCCCCAGCCCCCTTCTCCCCACCCCTCCTAAGACACCCATCCCCCATAATGCTCAGAGACTCCTGCTCTTTGCAAACCCTGGAACCCATCTCACCCCAGCTCTGCCAGAAGTGGGAGAAGGCAGTGGGAAGGGGGCTTGGGAAAGGTAAAGAACTCCTATATAGGCAGACCTGAGCCCCCACCTCGGCTCAACTCCACCCCTCTGTCCCCAGATGGGCCTCAGACACAGGCTCCATGGCCCTGCTCTGCCCACAGCACACGGCCAAGGCGCAGGGCCCCGGGGCCACAACCGCACACAGCAAGGGCAGGGCAGCTACTGCTCACACTTGGGCCATGTCCCCCAAGGGGGACAGAGCAGCAGCCCAGATGGCCGTCCTCCCACCATGCTCCCCTCACCCTGGGGGGTTCTGTCACCTCACGGCCAGGGGTATGCTCAGAGCAGGGGAAGAGCAGTAGGTGCTTGTTTATTAAATGAACAAAAGAATGAATGAATGAATGCCCTCCAAGATACAAAGCTACAGAAAAGTTCCTCCTTCTACTCTCCTACTTCTCTTATCATTAAAAAATAATAATAATAATAAAGGAAAGGAAAAAAAAATGATTAACTACTCCTTTTATGCCCATCTCCAGACCCCAGTGTCCCAAGGAAAGGGCCGATCCAGGGTCCAGCCCTGGTCCAATGACTGACAGAATTCCAATTCCGATGTCACCCTGGGGGCGCCCTTGAAGGTGGAAGGGATCCCACCTATTCCACAGGCCAGCCCTGCCCATCCATCTCTGCGGCCCGGCCTCTAGAAGCACTGGGCAGCAAGGAGGGCTGGGACCCGTCTGGACAAGGCTCAGATTGTTGGTTCCCCAAAAGGCATGAGCCGCATGGTCACCGCGGGCACCTCCCTTGGGACAGCCAAACCAGAGGCCAAGTCCCAAGAGTTAACAGCCACCTGCTCCCCAGTAACCGGCCCTGGGGACAACAGTGGGGCTCGGACAGGCTGGAGCATCCCTCCCCACCTCGGCTGGGGAGCAGGAACAGGAGAGGCCTGGGCAAGGCCAGCGGTGCCAGGGGCCTGGGCAGCAGCTGTGCGGATTTCCGGAAGCCCGGGCGGAGAAGCGCCTGTGATTCCTGGCCCCCCTCTTAAAATATAAAGACTCAATTATCTTTGAGCAGCTTGCTTTACACATGAATTGACACATTTATTTTACAATAAATAACTGAAAGTTATCTGTGTTTCCTTTACTGTTAATCTACACAGAGAAATAATAAACAGGGCTTGTCTACAAAAATGCAAGTACTGCAGTCCTCAGAATTCAATTAAGCTAAAATAATTAATGCTCCCACCATATTAAATTACTTTATACATTTGAGCCACTGAAGTTTTATTCTTTAATCTTTCCTTTTTTATTAAATAAAAAAAAAAAAAAGCAAGAAAAGTTGGTGCCAAGGCAGGGAGGAGAGAAGCGGAAGGAGGGCCAGCAAGAAGGCACAACGTGCCGCTAGAACGGGATGGTCGTCTTCAGCTGACACAGCATGGAGACTGTTTTGTGCCTTTGATTAAAATAACATTTTAAATGCTTTGAACAAACATATCTCTTTAGACTTCTAAGGGATTATTTTACATATTTCTTCGAGAATGAAGAAATGCATTCGTCCTATTGCTGAACAGAAAAGGCCAAGAATATCTTCTGTCACACATAAAATAAAAATACTGTAGGCTGCTGCAGTATTACAACCCGAGAAAAAGGGGCGCAGGGGGTATGGGGGGGTGAGGACAAAGCCGCCTTGCAGATTAACTTTGCCTTTTATGAAATCACATCTAGTCGCTTTCTTAAACAAACCTACCCACAATGATCGGCAGCCTCTCGCTGGGAAATACCTTCATCGTGAAATGAGGATTCGGATGGTTTTGGGGGAAAGCAGAATGCCTTTCCATGGAAATATAAGTAGGGACCAGAGTCTCGTGGGCAAGGTCTGTGGTCACTGACGCCGGGTGTTTATTCTACTGGAGGAAAACTGTTCCTCCAGTGTCAAAGAAAAGAAAGGCATGGGGGCCCCAACAACACCAACAAAAGTGACCCGGCACCTTTCTGGGTGGGAGGCTCCAGCCCAAACGAAGGCAGCATCACTCACATCTGCAGGGCACTCTGAGAAGCCGGGGTTTACATGACCACGGCCCTGAACATGCTGGGCATTTTTCTCAAAGCCCTTGGCAACTTGAGAGCAAGAGAGATGTCTCTAGCTCAGCAGCCAGAAGGCAAGGCCCACAGGCCAGTATGATTTGATGGGGTCTCCCCAGCACCTAGCATGTGCCAGCAGGAGTCTGCATCCCACCACAGTCTCTTCCCAAGAGAGAACTCATTAATCCCATTTGACAGACGGGCAAATTGAGGCCCGGAAGTCTCAGAGTTGCCAAGTGGCTTTGCTGCATTACCATGACTGCCTTCTGAATGATGGGGCTCTCTGCTCCATCTTACCCGTGGGAGCAGGTGCCTTGGGCTACACCAGGCTCATCCTCCAAGGAGGAGCACCCAGAGCCTCAGTCCCTCCAGCACCAGCACTAGCTTCCACGCCCAAAACAGAGCGGGCACCTACTTGCACATTGCAGAACCAGAGGGGACCCCTGAGAGGAAACTTCCACTGGCAAAGCACTTACGGAGCCCCTGCTCATTCAATCCTCACAACAGGCCTGCCAGTATTCTCACTCGCTGTTGACACATAAGGAAACTGAGGCCTGGACTCATGAAGCAGCTTGTCCAGAGCCAACCGGCAGGATGTGACCCCTCATCTACACGCACACTGGTGCCATCTTGCTGTAGGACTGGCTGCTGCTTACTGCAGGAACACAGGCCACCACGGCCCTCAATCTTTGCTGGGCCTCCTAGGCTCAGAAGTAGGACCAAAAGCAAACACTGTGGCTTGCACAGAGCTCGGGCTCCCTGGAGGAGGCTCTGGCATTCCGTGACCACGGCCCGGCAGGACATGGTGCCACCTCCCTGTGGCCAGAGGACACAACCCAACACCTGTTCTTCAGGTGGTAAAAGTCAGCTGTCCAGGCGGTCAGCTGAAAGGGGCGCAGTGCTCCAGCAAGTTCCCGCAAGCCCTTCGCTAGACCTGCCAGAAGGATCAGGCAACATCAGAAGGGGCCTCTGAGATCAGCACGCCTCTTTTTACAGATGGGAAATGGAGGCCAGAGAGAGGAGGAGGAAGAAATGAGTGCTCCCGTTCCTAAGTGCCTACAAGGCCCTGCCCACAGGCCACGTCTCATTAGACCTCACCACAACCCTATGGAGATCGGTCTCATTAGCTCCATTTCACAGATGGAAAAACGGACTTGTCCATGTTGTGAAGAACAGATTCCAACCCAAGACAGTCTGGCTGCACAGCCAGAGACTAAGCCAAGAACACCAGCAAACCGAGGGCCACCCTAGCCTTCCAAATTTCTGTTCTGTACTCCCGGCCACCTATGGATTAGGCCCCACAACAGAGCCTCATTGCCAAAAGCAAAGCAACCATCAGCCAGCTGTGCCTCTCTGAGCCCCGGGCCTGTCTCCTCCTGAGGGTCACCCAGACAGTGGCCCCTCGGAAAGGGCGAGCCCTGGCTGGTGGTCCTATCCCAGTAGCCCCTGGGCCCTCCCAGCACCGACACCCAGCACAAAGAGGGGACAGGCGGGCGTGGGACCCAGGAGGTGGCTTCAGTGGCGACCTGGCCAGTGGCAACATTCCATACCTGCAATGTTCTCCTGCTTGGGGCAGATGCCTTTCGTGGGTGAGAGCAGGTGGTCATCTTCATCGGGGGTGACCTGGATCCCGATCTCCACCGGCTCAGACACTTTCCTGAGCTCGGAGCGCGAGGAGGGCGGCGGGCTGCCCTTGTCCAGGCCTTTGTCATAGCAAGCACCCAGGCTGCCGCCACACTGCTTCTTCTTGTGCTCTATAAAAACCAGGATGTCCCCCAAGGGGAAGTTCATCTGACACTGTCCACAGGTGAGCAGGTCAGGGTCGGGGCCACCCACCATCAGCCCCAGGCTGCTGGGCTCCTCTATCTCCAGACCCTCATCTTCTTCGAGGATGGCGGCCTCCACATGGTCAGCCTCTGCTGGAGAGAGAGAGGAGAAGGGGGCAGAGAAGACAGAGATGGGCTTAGGCAATCACGGGCACCCAGCGGCCATTCCAACCCTTCCCCACCAAGAGGAGGCCCCTCCACTGCAGGATACTAGAGGTCACCAAGTCCCCGCATGACTCCCGGAGGCCACAGATGGGCAAACTGAGGCTCCGGGAGCAACATCGCAGCCCGTGGAGGTGGTTGCTTAACTGATGCTAAACTTACTGCTTTGTCCTTTATTTGCTGGTGATTCCACCCCCCAATATAGCATGTAAACACATCCACATGCACATAACACCCGTCCTGCTTTCACAAGAGGCTCAGTGTCACGGGCCCCCGTACTTCAAGCTCGAGACGTGTCTCTCCCACTTTACATCATCTGAGAACCACCTGGGGAGTCCCGAACCCCCTGTGCCCAGGCGGCACCCCAGACCAATTACAGCGAGATCCAAACCTCAGATTGTCTTTTTATTTTTAAGACTCCCCAGGTGATTCCAGTGGGCAGCCAAGGCTGAGAAGCGTGCGCCAGAGCCAGTTCACCCTGCTTGGGCTCGATCGGCCGCCCCCTCCCTTCCACGGTTCATTCATGTCCTCCCCATTCATGGGAGCCCTGCTTGCATTCCTCTACCTCAGACCTGGCTGCACACCAGACAAGAAAGCAGAGCCCCAAACGGGCGTCAGGCAGCCAGGCCTTAGGAGAGAAAGAAGCCCACATGCTCAGAAAGCAACAAGTGAGTGTCGGTTCAAAAAGAAATATTGAAGAAAAAAATAACCACCACCACCAACAACAATGCAGGGGAAGGGACGCTGTTAGTCTGCTCCCTGAAAGAGGGAGCCACTCTCCTGCCAGACACCCTGCTCCTGGTCAGACCGCCATCACTTTGTAGATTTCCCGGCACTCATCAGCTCCCCACTGTCCTTTCTGTTTTGTTGGTTTTATTTTTCACTCCCAGAAAAAGAAAAGGAAAAAAAAAAAAAAAAACCTCGTCAGACTCCAAAAGCATTTCTTGGCAGACAACAAACCACCACACTTTCAATGGGCTGTACATTTTCATATTTCTTTAGCAGCCAATATACTTCCTTTTTTTTTTATTTGGGAGGGGACAGAGGACCCAAATATTTTGAAGCCAGTAAATGCCTCCAACAGCAGCAACCCCCAGGGGGAGAACGGGAAGACTCGGCCGCCAAAAGTGTCATAAATAAGGGGAGTGGACAATGAGGTTGCACATCCCCTCAGGCTCTGAGCAAACTTGGGTTGGAATTTTTCAAGAGCAAACAATGTGGTCGTAGGGCCGGCACGAGTGTCGGGGTGCTGGGAAAAGCCAAGGGTCTGACAACCGAGGAGGCAGGTAAATTTTAAGTTGTACGGTATTTAGTGAGATATAATGAAAACCAGAGAGGAACGGAGAGAAGGGATGGATGGGAGGGAAAACACATTCCGGGGCAGTGAAGTTACTGACGGGCCAGAGCCAAAGAACAGATAATTTAAGGAAAAAATTCTGTGGCATCTTCTATCTTACATATGAATCCCTGTCCTGTATTTTCTTTTTTCTTTTTTTTTTAAGATTTTATTTATTTATTTGACAGAGAGATAGAGAGAGAGCACAAGTAGGCAGAGAGGCAGATGGAAGGCAGAGAGGCAGGCAGAGGGAGAGGGAGAAGCAGACTCTCCACTGAGCAGGGAGCCCGACGCGGGGCTCGATCCCAGGACCCCGGGATCATGACCCGAGCCAAAGGCAGCCACTTAACCAACTGAGCCACCCAGGCGCCCCCCTGTCCTGTATTTTCTGAACACAGCTTCTTCAGGGCCCGTGGGAATCCACGTGTGATGCTGAATCTAGGATGGACACTGTAGGACAGGTGACACGTATGAGCCGCATGTGAACAGGTCGAGGCATAGGTGTGGCTGGGAAGGAAAGTTAGCATTTGAGATCCTGCCTGTGGTTAGAGACAAGCAGACAGAGTCCTCCATGAATTACACTTGGACATGCATGAGACCCACGTCAGTACAAAAACACCCCGAAGATGAGGAAATCCTAAATCTGTTGTCTCCATGCCTCTAACACACACACACCAAAAAAACCCAAAAACCTATAAGGTAAGAGAAACGGTTTTCACCAAGCCAGCCCCAGGAACATTAATTACACTTTAAAAAAGAAATCGGGAGTTTATTTAAAAAGGAGGTGGAACACAATGCTACATAATTAATTTACCAATTTATTTTATGAAAAGATGCTTTGGTATGGTTGAAATGTAATCACAACCCTCATGCCGAACAGTGGTTGTAGGGGGGACCGGATTCCTGTGAACGGTTTGTCAGAATGGAAAAGGTAATTATTCGGTGCTTCTTTTCCCTTTAATGATCTAACATTGAGCAATACTGTTTATATTGAAAAGCTTGCACCTTTAATTACCAATTACATATACATAATTTCAGAGCCAAAGGAGAGGGCTGTGAAAACAGTTCTTTAGAAATATAAGGATGTATTGTGCACCATTTCTAGAGAGGGAACTCTAATAAATGGGAGGAGGATGTCAAAATATTGTTTTGTTAAAAAAAAAAAAAAGGAGAGAGGCACAAAGGAAATGAGCTGAAAAGCAAAAAAGGACAAAATGAAACAGAATTCAGAAGGAGCAGGGGCAAGCTCGGTGGTGAGAAGGGCGGTGGTACCTGGTCCTGTCTCAACTGCCACTCGCCCACAGGCCGGGCACTCCGCTGTGTCACCAAGACGGCCACACTTCCAAGCGTGACCATCCTCGCTGAAGCACGGGGAGGTGCTTCCTGCTGCTTAATAATTTAATCTTTCTTGTCCTTGTTTTGTTTTGCTTCTCATTAACTTTTTCAGCCCTGCCTGTCCGCTCTCCGGGGAGGAGTTCTAGGAAGCACGCAGACGTCCTCTCTGTTAGGAGGCTGTAAGCTACGTAATTTCAATTCGTCCTTCTCATTCAAGAGAAACACAGACTACTTTAAAAATTAGCAAAGGTCACGTAAGCCTGTTCATAGGCATTCCTGCCTCTCTGCCTTCCATCTTTTGCTGAGGACTTGGTACCAGCACTTTTTTTTTCTTCTCTCCGTTTTTTGTTTTGTTTTGTGTGTGTGTGTGTGGTTTTTTTTTTTTTTTTTTTGGTAACATCTGGTATTCTTTCCTTTATTTGGCTCTCTCTGCCTTTTCACTTTCCTCCTGCAACAGGCCCTGTGAGCCCCCGTCACTGAGTCTGAAAGTATCCGACACCATTCGCTGTGCTGCAGTGGTGATTCCTGCCTTGGCCCCCTGGCAGCCAAGCCCCCCTTGAGGGGCCAGGCCCTGCCCCAGGCCCACAGACAGCTCTGAACCCCACCTCCTGGACCCAGGACCCAGCTCGCTGCCTCCAAGTGAGTCCAGGGGCAAAAGAAACAAACAAACAAATCTTCCCTCCCACTGTCAATGTTGAAAGTAAAACTCAAGATGACAGCGGGTGTTCACCCTACTCCAAGAATGGGGTTTCCTCTCTCCCCTCCCCTGGAAGGGGGGGGCGGCCGTGGGCTCTGGGCTTCATCTACTGAGTGAGATACTTCACTCAAGAAGGTGTGAACGTCACCCCCAAAGTTCAGGCAGCAGAGGCAGCATGAACCCCTCAACTGTCAAGTTTTGGGTCACAGCGAGTGGACCAAGACAGCTTGCTGAGCCTGGAGGCCCATGCTCACGGCCTTCGGAGACACCCCCAAAGACGGGCTGTGGTTTCATTTCCGCTGGCAGGCGGATACTGAGCTGGGTATGTGGGGTGCGTGTGTGCATGTGTGTGCGTGTGCGCGGCCCTTCTTAGAACTGTATCGATAATGGAAGAAATAAAAGGAGAAAGAGCCACCTGGCCCAGCTCAGAGAAGGGCGAAATGGGCTGTGTCCGGTCCTCTCAGTACCCTCCTTTCCCTGTCCTATGGGCATCCGGGGCCCCACGACTCCACACGGCTCGGAGAACCAGGCCTCTGCTGGGAGAACCGGAGCGGCCCAAACTGCCACCCAGACATAAGAAAGCACCAGGAAAGAGAAAAGATACATAACAAAAACAGCTTTTTGAATTCCCAGACCCAACAAACCAGCCCCTCAGGCTATCTTGTCCGGCAAACTCAAGCCTTAAATAAAGAAGGCAAAGATGAGGTCTTTCCCCTGAGATGATTTCTGCTTTCGTGAAAAGCTCCCCAAGTGTCAGGCGGCCCTGGAAAATATTGCTGCTCTCGCTATTATGAGCCGAATAAAGTACAGGGATTGCTAAAATGTTTGACTCATTAAGAGGAAAAATGAATGGATGCAGCAGGAAACTTGCTCAAATGTACAGTATCACGTTGGGGTGGGTTCTGAAATATGAAATCCTAAACCTCATGGACAACTATATATTTTCTCTCTCTCTCTCTCTCTCTCTCTCTCACACACACACACACACATACACACACACACAGTTAATTTTCTTTTACAACAAAACCACATTTTATTTACAAGGCTACGCCTCCTCCCAGCTGATAAACGCATTTAGAAGCAATGAAATCAGGGTTCACAAATAATAATGGATATTTGTTGTTAAGTAGATGGGGAAGCACTTGATCCTAAGACAAACTCCCCCAAGCCTGAGCTCGGCTGGGAAGGAATTTGGGGTAGAAGACAGAAATGGAAAGACATCATTAATACCGACCCAGCCAAGCAGCCAACAGGCCCCCCAGCAGCTGCAAAGGCTTAGCATGGCCTTACCTGGCCAGTGATTTCCCCCACACGCAGGGCTCCAAGGGCCCCACCCGCCCTGGTCCATCTGTAACAACTGGCCCTGCACCTGCCCTTTGGCGAATTCCAGCCAAGGGGCCGACCGCCTCCTGTCCCCACAGCACAGCGCGTGTGCATTGCTGCACCCACGGCACACAGGCCCATGTCCGCCTTACCCTGCACTGATTCAAATCCAAATCTCTAATGGCTAAGCCACAGTCCAGGAGAAACATAGGAAGAATTATTGTTTCAGTGCCGGGGGCG